CATAGATTTGTTCCACCGGAGGATTGATATCAGACAAGAATGCGTATTCTTGCCATTTATATTTCTTCTGGTCATTTTCCGAGAGACCTTCACATCTCAGGAAAAGCGAAGAATTCGGTGGACACATTGGATACAGACAGATGATTCGACAAATCAATGGCAATATTCCTAAAACTGAAGAATATCTGGAGCCTAAAAGAACTGCCACTCAGAACCAAAACCGGAATTTTCAACATTGACGTTAAAACCGTTCTTTTGTACAGGCCGAAACTTAGCTTACGGATTTGGAAGCAAAAATCAAGACTAAGGATAGGACATACTAACAACTGAAACGTAGAACCCAGGACAGAACTATCTAGAGATCCCTGGTTGACAGTCTATTCCTCAAAAGGGCTAATGAACTTAAGAAATTATGTTGACTAACTGTTCAAATAAAACTACATAGTTTTCTGTTACCTGGACGAGCAAAAATATAAAAGTAATGCTGAAAGTTTTACCTCAAGTTTTATCTAATGTACACATCGAATAATTTGTTTTAATAGGTTAACATAACATGCGGATTCTGTGATATTTTCGAATAAGTGCTAAAGATGGCAAAGATTGGAATGTTAGTCTATTAAAAATATTAACGATTACTTATATGATATTTATTTATTTTTTCATTTATTTGAACATATAAATATTGGTACAAGGGGGCACCTAATACATATGCGCCACACAAATCTTATTTGATTTGTGTGAGGGCTGTGATACTGCCCCGGGTGCCCAAACCGAACCAGGTGGTTCTCCTAGGGGGGGCACACCCGGAGCCACCGACCTGAAGGTTTGATCCACGAGCCAATGGAGCATCGTAATAGGATGCAGTCTCATGTTAGTCGGTGACTAATAATTAGGTCATACGCCATTTGTTCCCTCAGGATCCTGAAGCCAATTTGCATCATTGGCTTGGAATCAGGGTTTTCCGATTCCCCTAGATGGACTGTTCGTGTCCACCAACCCGGTTAAAGCATTGGACATTCGCTTTTCTTCCTCTCAATTTCGTGGACAACACCCGTACCACGAGAAGGCAATGAGTAGGACTTTCCTGGCAGAGGCTATATACACGTGGTCATGTGAAAGCATTTCGATAGGGTGAGCTGACTCTTCACTCTCGGCCGTACCAGGGCATTAGGAGGTACTTATACGATAAGCCCAAAGAGCTGAATAGAATCGATCAGAAATATTAATTAACTAGCAAATGAGTTTGTTTTTTTCATGCCTATTAAGGTTAACTCTTTTATACATGCCCTGGTCCAATCTTAAAAAAAAAACAGTTTATTTTATATTGATTATTATAAAATTGATCATTCTAATGTATAATGAATAACGTTCTCATTGATTTTCGATAAATCTAAGCTTATTTATACACTAATGATTATTTTATATTCTTTCATTGAAATCCTTATACTTAACTACTTAAAGTAAATTACTTAATTAACGGTTGCGATCATGTAATAGGTCTTCTGAGAGTTCTTTCTGATCTTATATTATTGTACAAGTAATAAAACAAATCTAACCTTGAATAAAAACGTTTATTTCTTCTGTTTTTAAAACAAATGTAGTTCACTTTATACAAATTTTCATTTCCATATCTGTAATTCATATGAGAATAAGTGATCAATACTTTGAGAATCAAATCTCCTAATTAACTAAATCCATGTGAATATCATTTACTTTTTGTAATTTTATATTGTAATTGATGTTTTGTTATACATCATTATGAAGTGTTCTTTGGTATAATTTAGTTCATGTGATTTGTTTGGTTTAACATGTATCTCATGAATGAATGGAAATCTTAAAGTAATTTACTCTGTCCAATAATTTGTTTTTATCAGTATAGGGGTTGTGGAGATTGTTAAGTTTTTGATTGAGATCATGAATCAATTGATGTTAGACCACCGTTGGAAACCTGGAAGCAGTGGACGGCCGTTTCGTCCTAGTATAATTTACCAGAAGGGGTTTTGTGGAGATTTTAGAAACTTCAATAGTTAAAATCATGATCCAATTAAAGCTAGACCACCATGGAAAACCTGGAAGCACTATATGGCTATTTCGTCCTAGTATAGGACTCCTCAGCAGTGCGCATCCACGATCTCTCCCCCCGCGAGATTCGAACCCAAGACCTATCAGTCTCGCGCGCGAGCGCTTAATCACTGGACCCCTGAGCCGGCATCCAACGGTGTTAATATCTAACTTCAATCATTACTTCAGAATCCATAACTTACATCATGGATTCATTTTAATTAGAAAAACATCGAAAACTATGAAATATTGAATAATAAAAAAGGGAGTTATAGTGTAGAAATGAGTAAATGACACTATTCGATAGCTCACTATCATCTGTAGTCGAAGGGATAATTGATAGACCACTATAAGTGGTTTGTATTTAATGTATGGTCATATATAAACTAGTCTTCAAAAAGAAATAATTGCTCATCAAGTTTCTTTTGATTTCAATACATTCTAGCCCAACAGATTTCATCTATTTCTTAGCAAAATGTTACTTTGGATACTATAGCTACTTTTTAGTACTTTCTTGTGTATTAACACTATACGTGATATAATTGTCTATGTAGATTTCTTCACAATTACTTGATAATCATTGAATAAAAGATCGAAAATTAACGAGCTCATCATGAGAACTGAATCTGATAACAATAAATTACAGAACAAGTTTCTTGACCAAAGAGAAGTGAACTTCATAAGATTTGACAGTTTTCAACGATTATGGAGATAATTTTATTGATATTATGGACCAACCTAAGTTCATCGGTGAAAACTCGGAAATAATGAGCAGCCGTTTCGTCCTAGTGCGGGACTCCTAAGATGTGATGTTGAAATATTTAAAATAAATGGCTTCATTAGATAAAACAGTTGCACATTTATATGGATTCCATCTACATACACTTAACAAAAATATCGAATCTTCTATCGATAAAATGAACATTTCGTTGATATTAAAACTGGCGGAATTGTAAACAAAGAATATTTTTTTAAATTATTCACTATCATAGTTTTTAACAGAAGTTAACAAGTACAAGAAAGATATATTGAAAGAAAATACCCCCCCCCAAGAAAAGCTAAAATCATTTTTATTATGCTAATGATCTTCATGTGAAAACCACAAGCAAATATCAATCAATGCTACTTGTAAAACCTCTATTGAGCTTAAAATAACGAGCTTTTAAGTTGTTATTGGAAACTCTTAATGGGTAACTACGAAAATTTACCAGTAGTATAGAGAAAAATTCTACATTTAAGATTTTAATAAAGCAATGTGTGCGTGCCATAAAGGCTATCTAGACTCAAAAACATCGTTATTTGCTTACTAGTGACTAACTTACAGCGGTAATTCTTTGATTTCTAGTTCGAATTCGTGACCAGGAGAGTTCAATCATGCTAGTGAAGCAGTTACTGACGAATGAAATTGGAAGATGGTTGTACAGTGTCACAAGTCGACTGAATTTAGAAATGTAAAACGTAAGATACAGACTTAAAGGCTCAAGTGGTAGTCGTTCGCCACGATGATTTAGTGTTTTGAATTCGCTTTCTGTTAGAGTAATGTACTGGCACCTCTCTAGAGTCTTGTTTTGTGAAGAAACAGATTACCAGTGATTCTTTGTTTACAGTGATAGTCTAAAATCAATCCGTAATGTAAAGCCACAAAATCTCTTAACTATTTTCAGTTACCTTTTTGCTCTTTAGGTTTGATGTTAGTAATGGCAGGACATTTTGATGTCGTTGATCATCACTTTACTTTATATCTTCAGATAATTGAACATTTGAATGTTTTCCAGTTAAAAAAGTAGTACTCTAGCCTCATTAGTCTAAATAGTGATTTATTTGCTAATAAATTTCCCACTATTATTGATACTTGAGTCATTTGAATATGCCTATATCTTTCCACAATTCCGATTGAATTCGTTTATAATACTTGAAACTGTAGCTGATAGGCAGTTCAACTTTTTCAAAAGTTAGTTAACTTTTATAAATTAAAATTACTTGAATACTTGAGACACCCAATCTATGAGTAGGCATTTCACTGAATTTATGTGGTATTCACACCTATCGTTTTCATTTAAGTATTGAGGCATATTAACAAAATCAATCCTAGATGGGTTATTCAACTATTATTCATTTATATTTTTGTTGACTTCTAGGAGTAAACTTTTTGATATAGTTATCAAAATGGAAACTAAGCAGTATATTTGCCAATCATGGAACACTAAACAACTTATATAAAACTGAACAATGACTGACTACTGAGTTATACAAATCAGCTATCAGTAAATTGAAGAGGTTTCACTTTCCTTAAAGCAGGATTAACTGTGAACAACCATTAGAACTTGTGATTTAATTAACCAAGTGCTAGAAAATTGGTTCCATTTATAAATTCTAATTGTTGACTTCATCTCAAGGTTCAAAACTATCTATGAATAGACTTTAATGTGAACTAATAATCAACCGAAGTTGGTTGATTACAAACATGATCGATATCTCTTCCATCTTTCTAGATATTCTTACAGCAACATTTGCTGAAACTTATTGTCTTTAATATGCCTCGGACTAACAATATCAAGCTACCAATTTCAACGTACAAAATATCGTCAAACTGTTTTAGTTAATTGACAGTACGGACAATAAGTTTTTGTACATTCTATATTAAGTAAGGCCCAGCGAAATTTTACAAAACTTATTAAATTATTAATTCAAGGTATATTTAGGACATACGAAATTTAAATATAAGGGACGATAAATGAAATAATGAACTAAACCGACAAGTATTATTTTCTTGACTGATATTAATTAAGTAATTCGAACTGGCAGTCATATTTCTTTACATTAGACATTAAAATACTACTAATTATAATGTGCTTTGGTTGTTAATACAAAAAGGGAAGTAACTGACACGAGAAGAGACAAAATTAAGAAGAGTAAGAAGAAGAAGACTGACAAAACGTTCAACATTGTTTGGCTTTACATATATCCGTGAATTCCGGTTTTAATGAAGCCCCACCAACCAAAAATCCATCGACATCATGTTGTTGAGCTAATTCTTTACAATTGGCAGCAGTTACAGATCCTTTGCGTGTAGTAAATAAAGGGAGAAAGAAAAAAATACGTTTTTTTAATACAGAGCATAGATATTGACGTTAACATTCAAAATTAATACTGCATTTCTAAGGATTAATAACTGAATAGTTGGACTATAGACAGCGAGGGATTTCAAGACACATCTATTATACTGTTTGAGACTCTCTAGTTGCATTCACCTGCTTTTTGGTTTTAATATCCATGTTGGGAATCAAACCCAGTGCCATTCACGTTAAAAGATAATGCAATATTCACTGAGCTACTGAGTTCAGAGAGCCACTGACTTGTTCTATGCGAAGATCTGTCTATCATTAGGAGTGAAGTATTTAAGTTACATCCAGCTGATTAGTCTAAAATAATATAAAATGTATAGTCAATTTTACTACTAGTGACAATCCATCTATTGTAAACGATGTGCATATAGTGTCAGTATACAACACAATAGGTATATATTCCAGCAAGAAGAATTCAAATCCAATGATGAATGTCAACAGTGAAATAGTTCAGACACTTTTTTCGAGTTATAGAGTCATCATATCCCGTAAAAAATGTAATTGGTTGTCTAGATTCATTAGCTTAGTGGATAATGTACAAATGTATAAATCAAAAGATAATGAATTTGAGTCTCAATGTAAATATTAACAATAAGGTGCAAATACATCTAATTGATAAATTTCATATAGGATAATAGATTCATTTTGAATTCTAGTGCTAACCACAAAATATCTATTCTATGAAATAGTTATATTGGAACAATTCACAAAAAAAATGCACAAATATCAAAGAAAGAATAATGAAATTTCACTCTTAAATATCAACACAATAATAATTTAAAACAAGCCCGCAAAGGCCCTGATGCGGCCGAGAGTGAAGAGAGTCAGCTCACCCTATCGAAATGCTTTCACATGACCACGTGTATATAGCCTCTGCCAGGAAAGTCCTACTCATTGCCTTCTCGTGGTAGGGGTGTTGTCCACGAAATTGAGAGGATGAAAAGCGAATGTCCGATGCTTTAACCGGGTTGGTGGACACGAATAGTCCATCTAGGGGAGTTGGAAAACCCTGATCCAAAACTAATGGTGAACATGGGCTCCAGTAACCTGAAGGAACAAATGGCGTATGAACCAATCGCTGGTCACCGGCTTCCATGGGACTGCATCTCCTTACGATGCTCCACTGCCTTGTGGATCAGACCTTCAGGTCGAAGGCTCGAGGTTTGGCCCCCTAAGAAAACCACCTGCTTCGGTTTGGGCACCCGGACAGTATCACCGCCCTCACACATATCAAATGAGATCTATGTGGCGCATATCTATTTGGTGCCTCCTTGTACCAATATCTATGTGTTAAAATAAATAATTAATTAATTAAAAATTAAGGATTAAAATTGTTCTGAAATAAACGCTTTATACACAATAGTGATTATAATCACCAATAAATCAAATGTAATATATTTAATATACACTATAGATTATATTCTTTCCTTATATAATACTACAAAATTTTCTTTTATTTGTTCAGATGTATACGTTGCAGTGACATATTATTATTATTATTACTAAACTTCTTCTAAAGCCTTTGAATTGCATTTTAAAATATAGAGCATTTTCTGGTAAGCGTTTTTTTAGCGAGTTAGTTTTCTACGGGATGGGATCGCTAACCCCATGCCCAACCCTCCTCCTTTACCCGGGCTTGGGAGAGGCAGTAACTCTAGAAGAGCTACAGGCGGAGTTTCAAAATACAGAGACTAAGGTAATAATGTAAAAAATTGTTTTAATTTAATTTAATTTAATTTAATTTAATTATCATTAAAAATCCCTTAATTAATAGAAAGTAAATTTCATTTGTTTATTTTATTAATCAATAATGTTACATCATTCAAAGGAAATATAACATAATTATTGATAAATACCATAATGGTAGATAAAAGTAACAAACTTTGAAAATTATCATCAATATCCTTTCTTTTCTTTTCTTTTTTTTTAAAAAAAGGAAAATTCCCTACTATGAAACTTATGCTTTGTATTTATCTAGAAATTATCAGTTAGCAACTGTTAGTCATAACTTTTAGGCTTGTTAATTAGAATTATTCACAGTATTTAAGTTTTGATTATCTAACCAAAAAAGAAAAAAAAACACAGTTCAAAATTGAAACTTCACTTCTATAGTCTGTTTAAATATAGAAGTAAGAATTTATCAATATAAATAATAAGAAATTGAAAGTTTGTAAACTATCAGTAAGTAATGACAAAATGATTAGTAATTTATTGGTTGATTAAAAATTCAATAAATGATTCAAATTCTAGAATGAAACAACATTTACGAAATGTGATAACTGACTCAAAGTATCTAGCACATATTTCAGTTACTTAGGGAGTTTTAAAGAGAAACTTATTAATCTCTAATACAAGGTTATTTTTACAATTATTGAATTTAAAAAAATATTTTAAAACGGGAAGAAAACTTAGGTAAAAACATAATAAACTGATGCCCTTGAGTTAAACAATCAGAATTAAGATAACGCTTCACGTGAATTTTGAGCGAAGTTTAAAGTGCAACGATAGATAATGTGTCTGTTATTGCTAACCAAGTGAAAATTGATTATATTTGATCCTTAAAATGTTTAAAATCAATGAAGATATTTATCATGAAACAATAAAGTAGATTTTAAACGACCCTTAAGCTAAATTGCATAACATGCTCGCTCGAGAAGCAGACAATGTTAAGGCACTTGATGTTCTTAATTGGGTAATCAAGAGTATTTAGATGATGTTCTTGTTTTTTTACCCTCACTCGAAATCTTAGCCCTAAGTTTCTTCAGCCTCTAGAAAAACAGGTGGCAAAGCATTTCATCAATGCTAATGTCAGTTAGTGTTAAAAACCCTGACCCTTATTTGTAAACTTAATTCAAAACTCGAGCTTAACTGTTGATACCTAACCCAAATCTTCTGTATTATAACTGATATAAGTTTCAGATAAGAACTCTATAGAGTGATAACCTCAACTCACAACACCAGTACGATTTACTATATGTATTCATATACCCTTCTTTCTTTTTTCCAAGGGATGATTTGTCTTGTTATGGTTAATTATCACGATCAATGCTGTTATTTCACTATTATTTCATTACTTCGTATCGTTAATTGTTTCCTGATTGGCTTATTATTCATTCAAGGTCTTCACTATACGATACTTTTATCAGATAATGTAATGTCAAGTCATCTAATTACAGAATTTTATACTGAATAAATATAATAAAAATAGAACAACTGACTAAAAGTTTATTAAAAAGAAAATCAAAATAAGATTCACTAACCACCATAGATAATACGTATTTTTTCATCAACTCCACTTGGTGCGTTTGTTTTAAACCATTTACGAAGGAAATTATGAACCTCTTGAGCTTGCTGTGGTGTAGCAACTTTACCTGTTCCAATAGCCCAAACTGGTTCATATGCTACAACTACTCGTTTCCATTCATCAGCCGATTTAATCTTATCTAAAATGAAATGGTATTATTTCAGTTAAAGTTATTACAAGATATTTGATGGTTTTGTATAGTAAGCTAAACTTGAATAATAAAATGAGGAACAAATGTGTCTAGTAATTGCTATTATCATGTATCGAACTAAATGCTGACTGGACTTGAAACATTGTTTGGTACCTGACTCAATATCTGCTATTTATTTAAAATTTTACAATTTAAAATAGCACTTCCTAAATTCATGTGAATTGTTGGATTAAAACAAAATATTTGACTCAACAAAGAAATTTTCAGTGATGAATTTGAATAAAATGTAGTCAGTCAATTTGTCAGGCAGTCAATAAAGAAAAGAATTTTAATTTGGTGGGGTTTTTCTTTTGATGACGTTTAACTGTGTAATAAGAGAAAATAGTTGTATGATACCTATAGATCGTCATTAGTTATCCTAGGAGTATATAATTTCGATAGGCACAATTTATAAATGTTGTCTTGATTAGATTTTTAAAATACTAGTTATGTTTATGTTATGTATTTGAGATATCTAAAGTTAATTTCTAATTACAAACAACTGATATATCCTTCTTATATGAAATGGAATCTATGCGAACTAGCCAGGCCGGAAGATTCACATACTACAACACGTCAACATCACTAATCCATCAACGAATAAAACAGGAAGAATATCGATTAATCTGGACTGGTGATCCGTTACCGTACGAATTTATATGGAGAAACTTCCACAAACATCGCATTCTTATCTTCACTGTTAGGGAGAAGGATTTTTTTAAAAGTTGATGAGTGAATTTTCGATCAGTGAATTGAATAAACAGAATATTGGTTGATAAGTTGTAAGCATAGATACAATATGGTTGAATGATGATTGTCCATATGATTAAATTATTAACATAAGCCTTTGAATAATTTAAGATCAGTGACAAGACCACGAACTTGTAGAACAGTTTTTCATGTAATAACATTATTTAGTTATACACAAATTTTTATTAATGAAATCAACATAATTAAATATCATTGATTGGTGAAAATCAGTTTGTAAGTCGCTTACTTGTTGCCCAGTAATATTAAATAAAAATTGATAAGAATATGAGTAAATGAAAGATTTAATGGCATCAAATTTTTCTTGTATAAACATTTTTATTAGAAAGAATGGTAATTAGATACATTTTGAACAATATTTTAATAGTACAACTAAAACTTTTCTCAATTTATTTAGCTTTCCAACTTAAAATTAAAGATTCTTCTTCACTGAGGGGAACAGAAAAAATGAATATGGTTTATTTGCTCAACAACAAAAAAGTAATCCTCATTATTGTAACCAAGTTAACCTCTTATTTTGACAGAATAGAAGTTAAAACAATGATATGTTTAGTTCAAGATTCAATACTTTTTTTTAGAAATTAAATAAAACAAGAGAAAGTGTGAAGAAATGATAATTAAGGATTTTCACACTTTGAAGTACATATAAAAGTAGTGATTATTTTGTGATGTAATATACTTCTAGATATCAGGTGATTATTAATAATACTACTGTGAAATCAATGATAACATAACGAACTACATAAAATTTTACTTAGTTATCAGCAATTCTGGATGTGAGACAAATGACCGTCAGTTCAGTTAAGTGCAATCATTTCAAGAGAGAGAATTAAAATCAACAAGACAAATAGCAATTTCTTCAACATAATATCTGTGTGAATACTAGTAAAACATACTAAGAATTTAGAATATGATTTGAAGAACAGATATGAAATACAGCAGTGTGAAATAAACTTTAAGATAAGCTTACTTGCGATAGCTTTTAACTGTCTAACGCACACTTCTTCCGTTTTATTAGATTCACGCTCTGATAATGTTTCACCAATACATGCAATAACGCTTAAACCTTCAGCAAGTGCATGTTGAACTTTTTCAGCAATAAGCTTTGTTATAAAAAATATGAGAAATAATTTTAATAAAAAACGAAAAAAATATTCTGGTAAATATTTTACTAAAAGATAATACATTGAAAATTGGTTTTAAATACATCGAATAATCAGTAGATTGTTTAAAACAAAAACTATATATTTGTAATATATTGATGATGTTATGACTTTATGTCCGGCTTCGATCACGTGATTTATCCATCAATCAAAATACGACTCATACAATCTTAGCACTGTGCCAAACCAATGACGTTCAACCGGCATGGACAGTCTAGCGTCCTTATTGGTCCTATGCACGCCTAGCCCGTCCACTTGAGTCCAGAACACCAAATACCAGCTCCCGATATGCGAATCGAATCAAATCATTTATTTCAGACATACTGGGTTTATATATCAATCAAACAGACCGCAACGCACCGTAAAATAAGAAATAACATTTGTACACAATAAAGCCAAAAAGTGACTGTGAACGTGGGAGGCAGTAGTCAATAAACTGAACATAGCTTAAGAACAGTAAATCGTACAATAATAAATTATGGGTCAAAATAAGCTTATAATAAGAGAAACGCAAATATACATAATCTAATTATTGAATAGTTACACCATAAGAATGTATAGATAATATTAGTCAATTAATATGTCTCAGGAGTTACTCGTGATTTAACCTTCGCTCGGATATAACAGTTGAGTAGAAAAAAGTTGAACTTCTGACATTTGATAATTAAGTATAAGTCGCTTTTTTAAAAAGTAAGCAACGTCTTTCAAGTCAATACAAAGCTCAATCTTGAAATATTACAAACATATCACCTCGATTACTGATGCGCTTAAAAAATATTTTTCAAATTATTTTTTATTACGAACTGCTTGAGTGAGATTATCTTTAATGTCTATCACAATAAGGTATAGAATATTGTAATAGACTATTATGAAAATTGACCCTAAACAATGCTGAAATTCCTATGGTAGTTTGTTAAGTTTTAAATGGAGCAGAGCTTTAAATAATAAACTGTGCTGTTTGTAATGAATCGTTTAAACTTTAAGACAGTTTCCGTTACAAATTGATATCAGTTAGATAATTACGGACAACTAGGGACACTGAATATCTGCATCGTACATATTTCAAATTCCTATTTAATGCACGTGAATTTTACATCAACTCATGTAGAAAGCTTCCTTCTAAACATTCACATTAGTAAAAATTTAAAGTGGAAACGAAGAAAACACTTGTCAGATGTTTTGATGTAAATTAATTGTTTTATCCAATGAAATAAACAGCTAGCTCAAAGTCAACAACTACAAATCAATCGATCAATTTGATTAAATGTTTCTTATTTTTGTAGCGCAATAGGAATCGATAAGCTTACATACTTTTGAATACATTAAGCGAGTTTTGGGCATAGCTCTACCATTTAAAAAATCATTTTTAAACCGACTTAACTCAATAACGACATGAAAGCATGTAATATTTCAGTTGAGAAGTTTCCATTAGAAGAGAGGTGCAAACTAACGAACGATTTGCATTCTCATATGTTGAGAATAGTTTTTTCTTAAGGTTTTAACCTAGTATTTTTGCCGTAAATTTTATATCTATCAACGGATTCAATTACTCAGAAAAAAGGTGATAAATACACTCATATTTTATATCATACTAATATGGGAAAATTAAAAGGAGGGAATTCAAATAGTAAAATTAGTTATATCAATAAAGTGGTAGACTAAAATTACGAGAACGGTGTTTGAAATGTGGAATCGAGTAAAAGTATGTATGGGATATAATTACCACAAATCAAACCAACAGTCATGAAAATTATTTGCTAATGTAATGGATTGGAGAAATGGCTGCTAACTTTATTTCAATGAACGCTCGATCCGGTTTCCAAGACTCTTCTAGTAAACCCCAGGCTAAACCTACACAGCAATCTAACATTAAACGGTGGCCGCTTATAAGTCTGTTATCTGATCCATTACCTGTAGCAATTACTCTTCAACTAATATCAGAATGATTCACTCTCTGGGTACCCCATTACAGAGTAATAGTTCAAAGAAAACTACCAACCGAAGCTAGTAACTTGCACAATCAAACACTATTTTATATAGGCATAAATCAAAAGAAGACAGGACGTCGAAGATTATATTAGCAGGCACAAATATTGCTTAATCTATGATATTGTAAGTCGTCAAAAGCTAAATTTTAATTTGCTTAGAAATAATTTGTTATTCTGTGATTAGTTTTTAGCTGGAAATAACTCATAACTCGGCGTTTACTTTAGCACAATTTAGATTTTATCCCAACAACATTGACGATATTATTTTGCATTTTGTTCCCAAAATGCTCCAGATAAGACAAACTGTATTTATGAAACATTTTAAGGCGCTTATTAGGTACATAAGACATTTTTTGATGGATTTCTACCAAATAATGATAAACAACTTGAACGTTTATGTATCCCCACCTCAAATTCACGTAGTTGAATTCAAAAACGACATTTTCAAGGAGATAAATAGAGTACACCTAATCAATTAGACAGGCCAAATAACAAATGGTAAGCTCTGAGGAAACAGACGCGCTTTTGATTTAAAATGCACATTAATCTTCTGACGCTTATAGACGTACGTATACGGAGGGTTTTTGAATGTACTTTTGACTCGTTTAGACAATAATATGCTCACCTCTAACTTTCTCAACCGAGTATCTGGTCGTACACGAGTATGGAAAGCTTGAATGTCAGTAGAAGACTCGGACGACCATAAGACATAAAAAAGTAGAATATGTGTTCATAAATATCCTCAACAAACACTGAATTTTTCCGAATACATCATAACAAAAAGAATCAAAACCAACTGTCTAATACAAATTATCGATTACCGAATGATATTCCTGACAAACAAATGTACATAAAATAAAATTACAGGTAATTGGTTCAAATCTATCACAGTTTTTATTTTTACTATATTTTAGTAGTCCAGATAGTGGATTAAGGTCGTGAAATCTAGTATGTCCATCAGGTTTATAACCCTCATTGAAGTTTCTCAAAGTTATGGATATTGACAATGATCGGTGGTTTTCTTTTTAATGGTAGTTATATATCATATCTGTTAAAACATTTACAAATGAAGAAATCTGGTCAATCTCAGTAGTCAATTAAATATACAATGGACATTTTACTGCAATCAGTATGTCACGGATGTTTTATTTTAATGTGGCTTTATTTTTAGTAAATACAATTACACACTAGATACACTCTCTAGGAACGTTCACAGCAAATATCTTTCAAGTTTGGACTAGTTGTTGCGAACCTTTGTTTTATAACCTAACAAATGCGTAAGCCAATATTTATCTTAATGTTTATAAATCAGTTATAATGTATCAAACCGAATGGTGTTAACTATCAGAAATAAAATGAAGGTAGTTGTATTTCTGTTCACAAAATTACTGTTAGAAAGTCCATTCATATATCATAAAATAGAAGTTGTTTCCTTATGATGGTACTGTTAAAAAAAACCTACTTCATCAGATTCACCAAAATGCTCCTACGCTCAGAATGTCCAAGTATTACCCATTCACAACCAATATCTTTTATCATTGCAGGGCTAAACAAGATTTGTGGAGGAAAAATAATAAAGTTGATATATAAGTTACTACTAATTTGAAGCGAAGACGGAGAAACGGTATTCAGTATATATTTTGTCTTCCCGAATAACTGTGTCAAAAGAAAAATCATGACTTCACTTACTTATTACAGAAAGATCAAAAATCGCGATGTAAGAAATAGCATAAAGCTGTAAATAAATCACCATAATAAATAATTTTGCAATTCTTCAACGTTGATGCTGGCCTCGTTAGTTTTATTGAACACATGATAGTTTTAGGCGCTCAGCCAAGCATCCGCACCAGATCACTATTGACCAAGCCCTACTATGTATTCCACGCAACAACTAGTCAGCTTAGCTCATATATTTCCCGACATATCGACTGCCTTTTAAATATACCTTCGAACACTCCCATTCTTGACTCCTGGTTTGACTGAGTTTGTGATCGTCCATCAAAAAGGTATTACAAATGGCAGCGTTGTCAAGCCCTGAATACCTTAAAAATATTTAGGCAGCTTATTGCATTGCGCTAATTTGACAGTGTAATTTGTTTTTAAGTAACACAGAGTTATTGTTAAAAATAGTTGGAAATAGCATTAAAGAACAAATCATGTAACAGTAGACCCGATAAGTCTCGGTTTTTTTCATTTAGTTACAGAATAAAAAAACAGGGAGATATCATATTTTTTTCTCACCGACAGCTGCCACTATCTGAAATGACATCCAACCAGATGTAGTCTGTCACCTCACTAGAAGTTTTTGATAATGGGCTTAACAACACCGAACTTAATTATGACCTACAACCTCTAGTCCAAAATAGCTGCGCTTGATGCGCGTCTCGCTGCTCATCTGCCATTATTATTACCCTGCCTCTACCACTTTTTCCCCTTCTCACTGTTCATTTGTCATTCTTACATTTCGGTTTGTTTATACTGTTTGTATAGTGACTTTATTTAAGTCCTATAGCAATGGTCTTTTCTAAGCCACAGTTTCTTCACTTTAAAACATCCATATGGTATCTATTCAATATCTCACCCGGTAGTTTGATAACTCGTGGTTCAGAAGACGATACTGCCCTGAACCAAATTAATTCACTCAAGATATACAAACTGATAAATAACTACGGAGACTAATGGGGCTGGCCAAGTTGCTAGACTGCTTCCATAAAAATCCATTAAAGACCTGAGTCCGTATCGTAAAACCAAGGAAGGAGCACAAACAAAACATATGACTTAAACGAGCTCGTCACTATGATCTCTTAAATTTGAAGCAAGCACTTAAGTGGTCAAGAATGTTTGCACTGAATATTGTCCATTGGATTTCGCTTTGCTTTATTCGCCGTTGTTTATTTACTTTTAGCTTCAATACACATAACCATCCAGTATGTAGTAAAAGGGTTATTCCTGCTGTGAAACCATGACCTTTGGCAAAGACGCATGTTGTGTTCATTATTTTTGGTACTAGTAACAAATCAAAACGGTTTTATGGTTTCAATCCCATAAAATTGAATAGAAATCTTTTATCGGATCATTTAGCAACTATTGGAGGTTGAATAGGAACAGTTACCTGATTTCCCCAGTGAATGCACCTTTTGATACTTTATAACAATTTTGAGCAGCAACATGTATTTCCTTCTTCAAGAGTTTTCGAACGTCGTGCAAAAATATGGATGGTGGAGCAATTAAAACTTCTTAAATTGAAGTATTTTTCGGACGTGACGTCGTAACAAACCTGTGTTCTCACCAAAATGAGCTTCTGAGAGCAACTTAAGTAACTTTTCGTTATCTTCTCTGCTTCCGTTCATTTTCCAGTTCCCTCCAACAAAAAATTTGCGAGATCCAGACATTTTTATAGTGGACGGAACCTATATAATTAGTAACTGAAAGAACTCTTCGACCGACGCGCTCAATATTTTAATGAAGAAGTTCAGTAAATCACTGTAGTAAAATAACCCTCGCGTTAATGTAATGTTCTTGAGTTGTTTTTTTGGTTACTGGCCGTTTATCTGCAAGATAGTGATATATTTTGATCTACTGTTAGTTACCACGATCCCATTAGTTTTGGTTCGAACGTAATCGACTAGCAGGTATATACGGATCATGAATTCACCTAATTTCTTGATACTCTATCGCTTGTGTTAGACGCTCCAATCATCCATATGTTACTCACTGAGTCACTTGTATTGATTTAAATTTATGTCTGGGAACAAGCTCGTGCTATTTTGTCTGAAGATCTTACGGACATAGTTTATAAAAACAATGAACATTATAGAATAGTTGATACTACTTCATGAAAAATTTATTGATTACTCTCTGGAAACTAGGTAAAAACAGATCTATATTTGTGGTGTGATACTGATAGTCTGAAAGTGTTTCGAATAAATCGTCCGAGAAATTATGTATCCTCATGCGCTTCTATATCCGATTGAGTTTCATCACATAAATAAACGTCATACAAAATATTACATAACTTTCATATACTGATCTGGAAGGAGATATGGCGTCTCTCGAACACTTTTATTCATCAAAGCGGATCAACTTGTCCAAATGGTCGAACAACTACTGAAATAGCGCAACAGTCTATAAAAATGTACAATACTTAATAACGAAAGTACTGTCAGAACTAACAAATCTGTGTGTGTTTCACACATTACATCATCTATGAAACCATGAGAATTTAGTATTTCCAAGCACACAGCATTATTTGATCTCGCCGTAGTGACTTTCTAGAGGTTGTGGCGGTAAATAGGTCTTTGAAATAAATAGTTCCGTAAGTCTTTGACATTTGATGCAGACCGCACTGGTTTCAGTGGAATCACCCAACTGAAGGCGCTTGGTCACGCATCCGCACCAGATCACAATGGAGTGAGCCATACTATGCATCTCTTACAAGCGTTATCCAGCTTAGATTGATCATTTCTCACTATATATATAGCCTATCAAGTATATATTTGAACCTCTTCGTTTCTGCTTTCTGAGTTCGCTGGGTTGCCACGTTTCGAATACAAAAGGTGTTACTGGCTAGGGCGTTGTCAAATTCTGAATACTTGTGTCATCTTTAGTGGTGATCCCGAACGGATATGATACTCCAATTCGCAAACAGTGGTTCTGTAGAATTATGGTTTACTTCGTTATTACTACTGCTCTAATAATTGACTTTATCCTAAAATTGTAGATTTGTCATGTTGTAACTGCATGATCTATCTAGATCTTACATAGAAGTCACCTTATTATCTACACCAACTCATCGCATCGTAACAATCATCAATACATGATGAATAACATACTTAAGCTAGAGATATAACAATGTATTAAATATGAAAAAAGGTATGTAACAACGCTCAAGAGTCGCCACGCCTGCAAGAATGAGCAATTCCAACCAACGTATTCGAATCAATTGAGTTCCATATCCGCTCCTTGTGTGGTTACGGTCCAGTGCCACTAGAAGTCTGTTCCTTTTGGGAACTTTATATAATAGTTTTTACTTCGATTTTCACATATTGTGATATTTTTTGGTATTTTTAAATATCTTTTTCTCGTTCATTGTCATACTTTATTTTCTTCTATTGTTATTGTTACCTTTATTCAATATTATATTTTTGACACGATATATAATTTTCAGCACAAAGTATTTCAACGATTTTTCAATTCTTATTTCTTGATCAACCCCTGAAATAGATATTGGGTGGTCGCCAGTTAGATGTTAGCATTTCAGGAATAGACGTTTGAATAATGTATATTTTTTTCGGTGCATGTTGCCAGCAACCACGATTTCTCTGATTTGGCTCTTTTTTAACTTGTACAGCGAAATGTTTTAAACGTATCACAAACGCACCTGAGTAGGTCACGCGACCAACAGCCATGATGATGTAGTAAAACAAACAAATTAGATAACTCGTTGAAATATCCAGATGCCAGAAACAGGTAGACAAGATATTCAAGCAGACCGCGTTTATCATGAATGAACAGACTCTAAATTTGCTTAAGATGAAGACTCTTACGCCACCCTCATTTCAACCAATGCCATTCTGACCCGTCTTAATAAAACCCTGGTCCTGCTACGCAGAAGCTGACCTCACCGGCGCCGCGTGACAGATCCAATATTACGTCACACCTAGTACGTTCGCTAGTGATGTCTCAGGACCTTACGAAACTTCAAGAAAGTCTATTCTTAAATGTGTAGATCACAACAATTGACGAAGATTAGACCAACTCTTCGACGACGATGAACTATAACATGGCACAGTAACAGTACTGTTCAACGAATGTGAGAGGTCATAAGTAAACAGACCTTTGACGAGGGCTTGTTCAGACAACGCTTCTTGTCTGTGCTTCTCCAACATATGCAGGCAGTGCTTGTCTCATATAAAAACAACGCTGCAGACAAACTGACTGCATCTGCCGACCCAACTCTGAAAATCATTGGAACTTTTAGTGCCGAGGTCAATTCGACTAAACAAAAACCTCAAGCGACAATAAATGATGTCACAGAACTTTGTCACACACCCACACGTCACCTTAATATTCATAATGACCGTAGACGCTCTCAAACTCCTCGGAGGAGCACTTCACAACAACAATCTGTCTCCAGATCACGAGACACGGATAATCCTGATTGGTGCTGGTATCGTAATAAGCATTGTAGTCCTTCATGAAACTGTAAAAACCTTGCAAGGTTCCAAGCTCCAAACGAACCGACACGAAAAACGCTCCGATAAACCTCCTTTCCATGACGCATCAACGGCAACCACAGCCGGCGAGCATAGTCGTCTGTTACACATCAATGATGTGATGACGAAACTTCGCTATCTCAACACTAGAAAAGAGGTTATTGATCCTAATGAGAATTCTTACGACCGACTGCATTAGGCCGTTTTCAACCGAGAGGCGGCAAGTGGTAGACTATGCGCCGTATACGGTAAGCGGTATTTTTATCTTATTTGAATTTACGCAAACCCATCCACTGGATCTTCGTTATTGCAAATGTTTTTGTTCCAATCATTGATATGTATCTGCTACAACATCATTATCCACTCATCGAAACACCCAAACAGAGGCTAGAAGACGGAAATACTAATTTATCTGTTAGTGTGAGTTCTTTTTCTGGTTGTAGCTTATCCCTAGCACAGTAAAACGCACGATCAATCCATACTATCAACAGTTACTCGATAGGTATCCCGAGATGTACCAAACGCGATCAAAATTACCATGTGTAACCAGAAATGTTACACATCACATCACGACTACCGGATCACCCGCATTTTCGAAAGCGCGCTTAGGTTGACTAAAAACGAGAGGTGCAATCAAAAGACTCTGCATTTTGTCAGCTTCTTCACCAAACGGGACCATATCATCTGTGTCCCCTAAATCGATAAGTGGACCACCTGGAGCGAGATCAACTTCAGAAAATTCAGACGACCAGAACGTTATTCCATCAGTATATCTGTGATGAAGTTGAACGAAAGCGGAGATGGTGGACAGCCATGACGGACAACACTTAAGTTGGCAAAATCAGATGACAGTTCACCATATGCTACGACTTAACTAGTAGTGTCCGAATAAAAAGCCCGCACAAGGTTGATGTGCCACCAAGGTCCACATTTCAATGACAGACATTGCCACGGGACCTCGCAGTCAGCAGGGCCAAATGCTGCTTTTAGGTGGAGAATGACCACCATTGTTGGACGCTGATAAGCATGCCCGTGTTCTAAAATCTGACAAATAGTGAACATAAGGTTGATGCAACCACGATCAGGTCTGAAGCCATCCTGATTTCCTGGTGTTTGCAGTTCACGAGTCTTTGTTAGCGCTCGATCATTATTGATGCTAATATTTTAGGTGCTATTTTAATTACACCAATCTCTCTATGGTTATCGCAGCATGATGTTCACCTCTTCTCACATATTGGGACGACCAGTGATTGCAACTAGTCAGAAGGGATTACGTCCAAATCCCAGATTTTAGCTAAAATATTAGTCAACCCACTCGTTAAAGTTGGACCACTGTCCTCGAATACATGTGAAGCCAATCCATCTGGACCAGCTGCTTTTCCTCGTTTCAGATTAACTATAACTTACCGAACCTCAGATGGGGTCGAGAGACCCACTTTAATGTTTCATTCACGCTGTCTGGGAATGGTGGGCAGTTGGAGAAAAGCTCAATGACAGCTGAACTGCTTTTTAAAATGTTCCGTCCATCGTTCTAAACGTCTGGACTGTGATCAGATAAATGTCGTCTTTTTCCGAGATATTCTCTCTTACACTTGACTTATTAGTTGCAGTTCCTTTTATTAGTCTGTAGAGCTGTCTTATGTTACCTACAGCCGCCGCCTTACTCATCTCTTTTGCTTTCGTTGGCACCACTGCTCACAGATTTTTGGTTAACCTAGATCTGATTTGTTTTCGCTCTTCATCGTGTTCAGAACCCGATGGAGTGAGCACACGATAACCAATCAGTGCAATAGACCTAGAAAAAATCCATTGGTTTTGTAACCCTTTGTTTTAAATCACTTAAATATGTCATTGCTGTTTCTACGGCTGTTTGTCTATCTTTCTGGGCAACATCTGATTCAACCTCGTCTTCAGAACTACCTAATTGTGTCATCAGTTGTTCCTGGAGTCTACTTTTGGCTTCGCCGTCACTAAATTCAATTCTAGCAGGTCTTCGCATTGTGGCTTTTCTGCGTCCAGTGGGGCGCAAGCAGATGCATGTTCGTATATAAGCAATATCAGGGTCCACGCAGGTTTTCCAGAATGAGCGAAACTTTTCTGTCGAGCCTCTCCAACGATGACTGATGGCAATATGGTCTATCTGAGTTCATCGTTGGTCTGGTGCAGGGGGTCGCCGTGTTAGATAATGTCTCTTCGATGACCATTCAGCATCACCAAGAAACAACTACGCACCTCCAACTAACTAGTAAGTTTCTATTGACGGTTCATACAGAAACATGCATCTCTTATGAGACCTTTAGCCGAATAACATGTAAAGAATGAGAAAGTGGTCAATTTGGGCGACATAGCAACAAAAGTATTTTTCGCAGTTAAAAAATGTGTAACCAAAGAAACACTGCTCTCGCACCAGAACACAAAATCACCCATTAGTATCGCGGTAGACGGATTTGACTCGACAATAGGAAGCGTCTTACAACAATGGGTTAACTACATCTGATAACCTTTATCATTCTTTTCGAGACTGTTGATAGACACCGAATCGAGGTATAACACTTGTGGTAGGAAACTGCTAGCCGCATATTGTGCTGTACTGCACTTTCAACACTCGGCCGAAAGCCGACAATTTACTCTTTTCACCGAACGCAAATCTCATACCTTCGCTTTAAGCACATCTCCCCACGAGAGTCTCGGTAACTGGACCAGAGTTCTCAGCTTACTTCCTTTATACGATAGATTTCTGGAACGAAAAACGTTATTGTAGTCGCTTTGTATCGTTTAACTTCCTCGAACAGATTCCAACGAATGGATATTTTTAAACTTTCCCAGCTTCAAAATTGACATTGTTCTTCAGTGCAAGTTTTCTTAGATAACCCTGGACCTACGTATCAGGGATCGTCCAATCATACCAAGACACTACTGACGAAACGTCTTCAATATGTCACGAAAACTTTCTCATTCAGGTGTCCGTGAAAACGTTTTTCTGTATAGGATACGATACTCTTGTATCAAGTTAACATGAACTATACTGAGCATGTGATTTGTTATAACGGTGAGTATTTTTCATATATGTTATTTTATTCTAAATATTAATCAAAATAGGTGTACAAATCAATGTATAAATGAGTGTATTTTCGACTAGGGTCGTCGTCGTCATTGTGTTTTGGGGATGGATAGATCTTCGCTTATACCGGTCTTTGTGTTCTTATTTTCGCCTCGTGGGAATTACAGAGGTCCTTCGTTTCGAGTATGAATGATAAGCGTTTCTGACACAACAATCAGCAACTACCAGATATAACAAGTAGCGTTCAGTCGATAAAACATATTTGTAGGCTGCCAGAAATCTAGTGTTATTAGACATAATAAATGCTCTTTAGGCTCATTCAGAACTCCTGTTACCCATCTCGACTGTGTTCATCTGAATTTGGTACGGCTTTTACCAGATTCATGCGGGTGTTGTTATCTCTTAACTTGTGTAGACCATTTCACCCGATGGTCTGAGGCATTACTCATCGAAGACATTACCACTGAAGCAGTGACCCACACCGTCAAACGATTTGAAAGAAACTTTGTTCCCCCCTCAACCGTCACTACAGACCGTGGACTCCAGTTTGAACCCGAACTTTCCGTCGTTCGACTGCATTATTAGGAATCACACGCTTGTGAACGACCGTCTACCATCCATAAGTGAAGGGGTTGGTAGAACGCTTTCACCGACAGCTGCAAACGTTTTATAGTGTACCAACGCCCACTCACTCGTTTCGCTCAAAATTAGTGGTGGAGTGAAATCTGACATTGAATATACTACAGCTCAACTCGTTTGTGGGATGACACTCCAACTTCCAGGAGATTACGCGGTCCCTTCTATCACAAATACCATGTAACGTGCAATTCTGTCTTTTTCCTGTCTTAGCCGTCGAGATTTAGTAGGTTGAGTATAGCTGACTGTTGTCAGTTCCAAAGAATACCGGTCTCACTAGAAAAGCTCAATGGTTTTTTGTCCTTAAATCCGTAACATAGTAGGCCGTACTGAAAACCAATAACAAAATAAAACAATGGGTGACAGTGATGACTTTCAAAGATGTTGCTGATAAGCTTGAGTGCCTACTGGACAACAGTTCAAACTGATGTTACTTATTGCCCAAATCGCTAAGAACTCACCACCATCAACCTTTGTATCTGGATCTATGCTAGGTAATTATGACCCATGGTCAAATGTAATATTTGACATCCGGATTCGTCGCTACGAAAACATGTTTAATGCTGATTTTAGAAGTACATGTTTTTTGCGGTAACTCGGCACAGTAAGACTTGAAAAATACTGCAACACTATATTACCTCAATATCCATGCGAAAGAATTTTCGCAGAGACCATTACTTCACTTAGTCAGCCGTTTGGTAACCAATCTTTGATCCTGAATTCTTGTTATAGGAGCATGAAGGTAGTACTGAACGAAGAGGATGATTTTCTTACACATGTTTTAATAGTAAATGGAAAGTGTGAACGGTTTAAGTTAAAAACTCTATCTGAGGACCAATTTAAATCATTGATATTTATCTGTAGTTTACAACCTGAAAAGTTTGCTGATATTCGTATCTGGCTGTTACATCGCCATGATCAGAACCCAACTTTGGTACTCAAGAAAGTTGCTGATGAATTATCGATGATCAACAAACCTCAAACACGATACCAATCTTATTCATTCTCTGGTCAACATAGGTTTGACGTTCTAGCAGTCAAAAGGAAAGTCCGTCCTGATTCCAAGAACCAAACATACTCATCATTACACTAAAAACATCAAAAGAGGAGTCTAAAGTCGTCTCCCATCAAGGTGTTAGTATTGTGACACTTGGGATTTTGTAAAGCCCTGTCTGTTTAAAAACCATTACTGTAAGAAATGTTACATCATTGGACATAAAGAGACTTATTGCAAGCAGCAGAATATTCACTGAATACCAAATTTACAAAGAGAGTACAGATCAAATACTAGGCCATTTAAGTCTTTTTCTGTATTTAAAGTAAATCAGGTACATAATGGACACGACAATAAGTTTGTGGAAGTTCTCGTAAATGGCCATTCAATAAGATTACAACTAGGTACCGTTTGAAACATAACCATCCCTCCCTGGAAAACGTGAATTAAAATGGGAAAACCCAGCGGGAAGCCTACAAGTCAGTTTGCAGCGAGCTCAACAGATGATAAACTGAAGCCTATCGGAGTTCTATCATGCTTATTAACACTCAAAGATATGACTAAAAAGGAATATGTCACTTATCAGATGAAAACCTAAATTTATTGGGTTCAGATTGGTTTGTTAGTTCCAAACTTCAGGATACTCTAATGGGAAACGTATACATGAGAAATGTAAGTAAAGATGACGAGCAGCGGAATATCACAAAAATTCTGAATCGATTGACGAACATTTCGGCAGAAGGTTTAGGGAATTGCAATACAGTGAAAGTAAATCTTCACATAAAAATGCTTATCCGGTATTTCAGCCAGAAAGACCAGTTCCCTATACATCATTACCAGATATGGACAGAACTTCCATGTCTAGAAAAACAAGGTGTTCTATCACCAGTTTTATTCTCAGCTTGGGTAGTTCCCATAGTAATCATCAAAAACAAAATAGTACACTACGGATCTGTGCAGACTTCTTAAGAGCATTAAGTGCTGCTCTAGTACAATATCATAATCCTTTTCCAGATTCTAATGATATTTTTAAGATGTTAAACGGTGAAAGCTGCTTTGCCACTTTGACAACGCCTTAACCATTAACATCTTTTTTAATCGAAATATGATATGCATCAAATTGACGAGACCATTGCAACTATATGTTATAGAGTTATTTCGACAGACGTTAATACACATATCTACGATTTTTGGGGGATAGAAGCTAAAACATCCCAGAAAGAGTATTGTTAAAGACGTGCATACAGAGTAATATCATATAAGTGTATAAATGAGAACGTATTGAGATTCAGTCGGAATCCAGAGGCCGTGATCATTTAGATTTGCATCCATCACGTAAACTCGGGAAAATCCAAAGTTGTGGTCGCTAAAAAACATAACACACTTTTGTCACATTCTTCTTCACTCTTCGGTAAGGAGAATAGGTTGACGGATCCGCGTTTATCCTGATAGTTTGCTTTGCAGTGAAGGTCCACCTTTTTCTATAAAATGTCTACTTATATGACTGATACCACTTGTTCGGGTAAGGCATCAGAGTCATTGACCACTACATAAAAAAACGAAACCACAAATGAGGTTTCCCCGCGTGGGTTCGAATCCCATCCTCGTCGCCATATTGTTAGGTTTTGTTAACCTTGAGGATACTACTGATTCGACTTATTCGGAACGGAACGAAGGCTCAGGATTCAGAGACTCAATAGACTATTCTGGTCCGTTGTCTTCGACTCAGCTGACTCGATCAAGAAGTCTTGGTAAGGCGTAGAAAGTGTATTCTACAAGCAACAGCAGATACCAAGTCAGGCAGATCAGATCAAGCATACAAGTCAAGCGTATTTATACAAATATATATCGATTTTGTCATATGAAGTTTTAAACAATAATCAATGAGTCATCAACTGTATGCTATTTAAAAATTCAATCGATAAGTTCATCAACTGACTGCCATTCAAATATTTCAACATTTAATCGATATGACAAAATTACAAAATATGAGTTTTGGGGATATGTCGCCCCCAACAATTAGATCGAGGTATATGAACCTTCTTGCTATGAATTCGAAGATTATTAGTGCTGGAGAGAGCAAACAGATAAGAAGTATTATCACTCAAATCGTAATTAAAAATACTAAATAACAATATAGGGTCGCCTCACGTCCTACGATACGACGGGGAAAACGTTCAATCATTTTAAGCGCTCATCATAGGAGGGTTTGGAAAGACCCTTCACTCACTTTGTTCCCACACGCTATACACGCTCAAGCGAGTTAGTGTCTTTGATCAGATATGGGCCAGCAGCTTAAATACAGTACTCTGTAGTGAAGAGAACACCGATGGGGAAAATCAAATGCATTTGAGCACAAAATTACAGAACATCTCAATAAAGTCTGAGAACCACATAGTAAATTGTTAATTTGTTAAATGTCAATCCATCTTATCAAATTTAACAGTTGCAAACACCAATCCATTGTTCGTGATTTTTCATACCAATTGCTTTCCGTTCACATTCTTTTCCTCTCGATATTCTGCTGAAATACATTCAATGCCTGACTATCGTTACAAACTACTTATGTGTATATAAGTATCTCACACCAAGCTGTAAGTGTGCTTTAACATAGTTGGAATGTAAAATTCGAAACATCTCCTGGTCAAGGCATTTGAATGCTCGGTGAAGTAAACATAACGCATGAAACACTTTGGCAACTGCTGCGTTGCAATGCGTAGTTGTTTTCAAATCGTGACTTACTATCACCTCTGAATCCTTAGTACTCATAAGTTTTATGGAGGAGATATACCATCAGAAATATAACGGTAACTGTTACTGCGTCTGATGTGCACTGGCATACTGCTTCTAGAATTAACATCCAGGCCCCGAACTCGAGCCTATCTAACTTATTCGTGAAGATCAACTTGATTAAGTCAAACTGGTTAGCCTGACTACTTATTCTTCTGCAGATTTTGATATCATCCCCAAACAATAATGTCGACGACTTATGTGATAGCGGTAACTCACCGATTTAAAGATGGTAAATAAGAGACTAACATGGTGCATTGAGGTACACCAGGTTTTACCAAATTTAATTCGTATAGCGATCCATTAACCCTTTTACTCTGTCTACGGTCACAGCAGAACTTTCCTAGCCATTCCTGTACAGCATATGTTATTCTGAAGCTCAAGAGTTTCTGCATAAAACCTAAGCGTAAACCCTTGTCAAAAGCTCTGCCAAAATCTATAAATGACAAATGACAGACCATTATCTCGGGCTTTGATCCAATCCTATTACGCAATAACCCAGCTAGTCAAAAGTAAATGCTTCTTTAGAAAATCGGTAGGATCGGCAGTTAACAGATTATCCCGGTCAGACTGATACGTTGATCATCAGAAAACATCTGTCTCTGATCATCTTTAAATATAGGAATGACTATGGAATATTTCCAATCTCTAGGAAGTTGGGCGAGTGAATGTTACATGCTGAAGAGTGCGGTGAGTGGTCTTGAAATAATGTCCACAAGAGATGACAACATTCGTGGATGTAATAAATCAGCATCAGGTAGTTCTGTGATTATGCGTGAATTGTGTGCTCATGAATTATATATGTAATTACTATTACTTGCTTATTTTGTAATATTCTCAAGAAGTAACAGATTTTGATTTCTAAAAACTGAAGCACTAAAACAGATGTGGCCTTCATGACAGTAGACTTCAACAAGTGTCAAGTTCCTTACTAGTTAACACACAATAATCACTGGTCACACGGATGAAATACTTCAATCACGAGTAAATCTCATTGCAGAATACGACGAATTGGTTTCATAATGAAAAACGTCTTCACAACAGAGGGTAAACTTACTCTCTACAAAATATGTGTATGACCCTTCCTTGAATATTGCTCTTTTATCTTCTCTAATATGAATATCACAGACAAGAGTAGAGGATATTCGAAGACGTTTTACACGTCAACTACTAGGATGTAACTCGAATCTCGATTACACAGATAGATGTAAGCATCTATCTTTAGAACCTTTATGGCACCGTAGGCTAAAGAACAATTTAATATTTCTCTACAAAGCGATATATGGGCTCTACTTTCTAACCTCCTGCCCGACTATCACACACGACCCAGCCTATAGACTTCGAAACAACGCATATACACTACTTACTGTAAAACACCAAAAACAAATGCGTTGTAATTTTTTTACAGTACGGTATAGTTTATTGTGGAACAGGCTGCCATTGCCTATCTATAACTGTGATACGTTTACCAGATTCGAAAAGCTAATAACCCTATTTCAAGACTCCAAAGAGCTTCAACATTCCCTTGAACTCCCGCCCACTAATGAGGCACTTTATTACGGACCGCCTAGTATCTAGAAAGAACAAGATTATAACAAGTTCGACTGTTGTTAATATGAATATAACGAAATCACAGAATATATGGCTTATCCTTCCCTATTATTCATTGTTTATTAATCATGGCCTTACTCTCCTAACCCTAGCTTTCAGTCCCCAAATCTCTACAGGTTAAATGCACATTATTCTTCCTAAAAGTCATGCTTTTTTTTCTACTGCAAGTAGACAGATAGCTCAATCTTATGGATGCTGATCTACTAAGGCCGATCATACAACGCTCAAAATTTGGCCACGAAGTCTTGTGAGTTTCTCAATGTTTTATTTTTCTTACCCTGAAATCTTTTTTTTCTGCAATTTTATACCCTCTCATATCTTTTGATTTGCTATTAGTCCTTACTTCTTTAAACCATTAGTTATTTTCATAGCAGTGTGATATACTATATGGACATCTAACCCATAAAACAGACTTTTCAACTATCTGATTTGCTTGTAACATGGACCTAGTAGAGACAGTGTATTCCAACTATGGGCTTTGATTAAAGCAGTATTCATACTTACCACAAACGTAAGAGAGCCTAACATCACAAAAGGAGGGAGGGTGGCGTTACTGACCAGCAAACATGAAGGTGGGGAGATAACTTCAATCCACCCATGTCTGTAGGGCAGAACATTTTGTTTAATTACGGCTCCTTATGGTTTAGTGGGATGTCACGAACTTATGGTATTGATGCTGATTTATCACGCAAAATACCTCATTAAATCGTGTTACGAACGTTGAATTGGTTTCACTTCCTAC